CCTCAGAACATCTTCAACTTCTTTCATCATCAGTAACAAACCATAAGGCCGCCATTAGTATGACACACACACGCACACACACGCACACACGCACGCGCGCACACACACACACACAGGGTCGGTCCTGGCACTCGTGCTCGTGCCTCACAAATAAAATGCATGTTTTACAACATTTCCAAATAATGCTTTTTTACAGTCAGTGCAAATGTTTTACTTTCTTTTATGCTTGTGCTTAATGAGTTCCAAATTCTTGTACCTACATACTGTATTAGACGTTGACCATAAGTATTGCTATAGGGCGGAGTATTGAAGTTATTTATAAGAACATTCCTCGTGACTCTACCTGATTGTACAAATATACTTGATGGGAGTGGTATACGGTATTATTAAATACAATATTATGCACCAGAATTACAGTTCTATAGTCTCTTAACACATGAAATGGCATTATTTGTTGTTTTTGAAATAAGGGAGCTGAATGGGCATTGTAACTTGCATATTCTAGTATTCTCAATGCCCGCTTTTGTAGCGTTACTATCGGTTGTAGATAGCTTTGGTATGTAAAACCCCACGATACTACTCAATATTGTAAGTGACTATGAAAAATACTGTAATAAATCAATCTTAAAGTTTTAGAATTAAAGTACTGTCTGGCTTTAAGTAACGTGTAAACCGAATAGCCCAGTTTTTTACATAATGTTTCGATGTGCGGTTTCCAGTTTAAGCAAGAGTCAAGAATCACTCCTAGATATTCAATATGTTCTACCTTTTGAATGGACTTAATACCTATTTGTATATTTTGCGCCTCTGTTGGAGTGACCTTATGTGGGGAAGCAAACACTTTATAATTTGTTTTTTTGGTAGTTTAAAGGTTTAACTTATTATTCAAAAACAAAACTCTCTATCTGTTTAATGTTTTGATTATGCCAATCCTCAGATGGGGATGGTTTATCAAAGTGGCCAGACCGAAGTTCAGAAAGGTTCTATTTGCGGGAAGCGACCTTTGCTCTGGTAGGAGTCGCAACTGACGCGACAATATGCTTTGTGCATGTGCTGTGTCTCCTTTCTTGGCCCTGGTAGCTCGGAAGGCATCTGCTCCTTTCGTGTGCTGTGTTGAGGCTCTAAAACAAAACATCACTGGCATTACAACCATTCAATTACACAGTATCCTGCTTGTACACACAATGTTAAAAGGTTCAAGAAGCTTCTTGTCCTCCAGACGTCTGTGTAAGATCTACAGTTTGCGAACGCACAGCGAAATATAGACTCGGCGTTCTGCAAGGCGGCTTGCCTGCAAGTGCTTTGGGCTCATCTGGTGCATGTGACCCCTTCTCCGCCAATGAGGAACTTGTGGCGAAAGGAAAAGAAAGGGAATACTCTGGTTTCATCACTTATTTACTCTATAGAAGGTAGCTAGCCTTTGCATCGACCCACTATCCTTACAATCGGAGCTGGGCACCCTGACGTCACCGCATGCTCCGCGCAAAAAGCGCCGAGTTCTCACCTCTTCTCCCTCAGTTGTGCTTCTCATAGGGATGGGGGAGGTGTTGGTGCCGTGACCATCGGTCTTAACTCTGCTGAGGTGATGAAAAGCTAGTGAAGATGACAGCTTCTCTAAGTAGTTCGCAACATACTTTTTGTCTTGAGTACACTATGCAACGCTGCTAGTAGTGCAAGTACAACTTCGCCTCTTTTTAGCATTTGACTTCAAAAGGGCATTGGCGGGCATTAAATTTTTCCATTTAGGTTAACTTCCCAAATGAGTTGCACAAAGGGTTCTTATAATAGCTCTGTGATACTTAGAGAGAAAAAAGAAAATGGAGCTGCAGTTTCGTGGTGCTTTGCTGCAGACTATGTCTAAATGTGAGAGCATTTTGACATTTTTTTTTATGAAGGTTAGTATATTCTGCAGATTAAACTGAGACAAACGTCGTAGTGGAATGAGCATACCTTGCTACTCTTTATCTAGCCGAAGGCTGTTTTCTCTTTTCTGTTTTCTCATTGGCACGACGAACATGCTGAGCCTTACTGGCCGCTGTTTCCGTCAAGCGATGTCCACTTCAGTTGACTCCTTTCTCCTGCGAGTTGTTGTGGGCGACCGGAACACTTTCAGCAACTGTATGACTTCTATTACTGTAGTGTTGACGATTGGGCTAGTTGGTCATTCATATTAGCGGAAAACAAACAGCGCAAGGACAAGGACAGAGTAGAAGGCGGTAGACACACACAGCGCTGACTTACAACTGAGCTTTATTGGCACTGACAACATGTATAAATACACAATTTGCCCTGCCCAAAAGCCAAGAAAAGAAACACAAGAGGAGGACTACACGTGTTCCTAGAGTCATCTGCAGGCGCCGTTGCTCTCCGATCTGAGTAGAAAAATACACTCCTTTTCCGTCAAGGCAAGTGACGGGGCACTAACACACTCAGAGCCCGATTGTCCAATGGCGCGGGCTTCTATAATCTCACGTGTCAGTTTATCTTTTTGTTTACTGATGACCGTGCATCGTTCAAAAAACGGAGCACATCCGCAATCGCGGCAATGCACCCCAAGGTGCCCCGACACAACCTGAGACACATTATATCGATGCTCTCTTAAACGCTCATTAAGACAACGTCCCGTCTGCCCTATGTATCTCCGGCCACAGGACAGGGGAATAGAGTAGACAACACCCGCAACGCATGCAACAAACTGGCTTTGGTGTTTCTTGGCGCACACCTGTCTCTCTATTACATGAGAGTTCACTCTTTTGCACATCATAGATAGCTTGTCTGGAGCCGAAAAGACCACGTGAACACCAGCTCGGCGTCCCACTTTTTTCAGATTATGGGATATTTTGTGTAGGTACGGTAGTACTGTGATGTAGGTACGGTAGTACAGGAAAAACAGGAACATCACAGTACTACCGTACCTACACAAAATATCCCATAATCTGAAAAAAGTGGGACGCCGAGCTGGTGTTCACGTGGTCTTTTCGGCTCCAGACAAGCTATCTATGATGTGCAAAAGAGTGAACTCTCATGTAATAGAGAGACAGGTGTGCGCCAAGAAACACCAAAGCCAGTTTGTTGCATGCGTTGCGGGTGTTGTCTACTCTATTCCCCTGTCCTGTGGCCGGAGATACATAGGGCAGACGGGACGTTGTCTTAATGAGCGTTTAAGAGAGCATCGATATAATGTGTCTCAGGTTGTGTCGGGGCACCTTGGGGTGCATTGCCGCGATTGCGGATGTGCTCCGTTTTTTGAACGATGCACGGTCATCAGTAAACAAAAAGATAAACTGACACGTGAGATTATAGAAGCCCGCGCCATTGGACAATCGGGCTCTGAGTGTGTTAGTGCCCCGTCACTTGCCTTGACGGAAAAGGAGTGTATTTTTCTACTCAGATCGGAGAGCAACGGCGCCTGCAGATGACTCTAGGAACACGTGTAGTCCTCCTCTTGTGTTTCTTTTCTTGGCTTTTGGGCAGGGCAAATTGTGTATTTATACATGTTGTCAGTGCCAATAAAGCTCAGTTGTAAGTCAGCGCTGTGTGTGTCTACCGCCTTCTACTCTGTCCTTGTCCTTGCGCTGTTTGTTTTCCGCTTCTATTACTGACCCCTTCTGAAAGCGTGCCTTCTTTTGTAAGCTGTAAAATTTCTCCACAAGGACGGACACAAGGGCACACCCCTTGCGTTCGATTGCGCGTCGGCCGCACGAGCCCTCGTGCAGTGAGAGCAAAGCTCGAAGCTACCTGCTCACATTACTTGCATGTTCTGCGATACCAGTTGGCGGAAGAAACGTTATCGCCTGTAATAACCACCGCTTTACAAGTCTGCACCTTGGTGTAGTGGCCGAACATTGAGCTCGTAATCTTGGGATCATGGGTTTGATTCCCCGGGGGGAAGTTCGAAGTGTCATTCTTCCTTTTCAATTTATCCACCTATCGCTCTCCCTCTCGCACATGCACATTTGTTTCGTGTTACAAATCCCGAGTTTCCTGGAAAGGGTAAACACTGCATAAAAAATATTGCATGAAAAAAAAAACTATGCTTGTGTTAACAGTTCAATGTATATCAAGATCGCAAGGACATCATGTGCCTAAAGATCGGGAGCACATCATGGATAAGACATCCATGCATTGCTTGGGGGAGGAGTATATTCTGGTGGTCGGTTGACAGTGAGCATCCATGAGCCAATCGCAAGCCACGGTCTTGCGATTGGCTCTTGTCTGACACGCCACGATCGGCCGCGTGTCAGACAAGAAGAAACGGGCGTGTGCGCATTGTGGCAGTGTATCGAGTACAGCTCTGCTGGTCTTCCTTCTTCACGAGAGTGGAAAGGCTGAACGTTTTATATAGCCAAGCAAGGTTTTTAAACAAGCAAACCAAGGTTTCAGTGTAGCAAATTTTAGAATGACAAGACTACTAACAGGCATTCAAAAGGAGGGCTGAGTTGTATCACAATTGTGCTGATTCCTAAAAATTATGCTTCAAAAAATGAGCTTGGGAATACATAATTGTTTTACCTTGAACTAATAATGGTGGGGAAGGTAAGGTTTTTTTTTGTTTTTTTTTGGTTTCCTCAATGCTGTTTAGTAAAACTAGCTTTGCTTGTATAGTACCTCTGCCATCTCTTGTTGTGGAAGTTTTGCAATAGAATCTTTTAAGTAAATCCCAAGTTTATCCCAAGCATCAGAAAGATCTTGCAGATTCTGTGCTTGGATGTTGGGGTTGGCACCGGCGACCCTGCCCGTTTTTCTGCCCACCTATCGTCAAGCGTGGAAATTTTATGCTGGGAAAGTCTGTCGTAATCATATTATTATTTTCCAACTCTAATACCCTGACCACATGAGCTTGTGTCATATTCAAGGTTGTATTTCGTCTTCATGCAAATCTGGCATTTCTGGAACGCGTCGAGTAAGTGCATCAACATAAATAACGGCGTCTCTCTAACGTTGACGATGAATTCGTGACAATAAGTACCGTTGTGCCAATCTTGTGCCAATCGATGCAGATCGCAGACTATATCATGGATCCTATGGTTCGGGGCATCTGCGGCGGCTCCTCCCACGAAGTGAGCCTGCGTGCCCTGCTCCCCAATGTCTTCAAGGCGGCCAGAGAACACGGCTCGGTCGTGCGGGGCCAGCTGCGACAGGTGCAAGCCGCCACGGCAGCCCGACTTGCGCAAGCTGCTTCGACCCCTGCCGGAAGCACGACGCACACGACGATGGCGGAGAATGCGACAAGCACCTCGGCAAATGCAACAGACTCGCACGTGCACGCCGCAGGCATCACGGCAGGGGTGGCGAGTGCAGCGGACGCAACGAACGCTGGCGCGACGAGCGCACCGGCGAGCCTTCACTCTTTGTCTTCTGGGTGGGCCATGTGGAACTTGAGGAATGGCCTACAGCAGCTCTGCGACACCCTCTCTCTCAGGCTGGAAGAGAATCCCCGCACGCACATCTACGTGAACGAGCATCACGTCGCGCTGCAAAGGGATCCCAACGGCCACCTCATGGTGAGGCGCGCAGGCAGATGGTGCCACATTTTACAGTGTGTACAATGCCCGTGATTCTCGTGAGCTGCGCCCTTCGAGATAGTGGGAACTTTCCCAGGAATTTCCTTCGTTGGGCTCTCTGGGCTATAGACGCCGACTCAGACACGAGCCTCACTGCCGGAAGAAATAGTGGCTGTTTCTTCTAGGCTGAACCTCTTAACCCTGGGGTTTGGTGACATTTATGTAATTTACGGGGCACTCACTTATCCTGGGAAAGATACTTTATTTGTAGCGAAGTATTTAAAGTAGTGTGCAGTTATGCAATTTTGGAATTTATTACTATAAAATCCCGAGCGAGTGCCCACCCAAATTTGGAGATGATTGTGTAAAACTGGGGCTGGGCACTCTTTCGGTCAAGGATTCGTTAAGATATACCCTCTGTGCATTTTCCAAATGTTACAAAACTGAGGGGTGGGCGCTTATTGTGGATTGGGGCGGACGCTCGGTATTTTACGGTATATTAAGCCTGTTGTACTTTTTTCCAAAAATGCAGCTATGAGTGGACATGTTTTTTTTTTTCTTATTTAATCTTGTTGTATTACTTTAGTGAGGAGTTGAACATAAAACTACAATACCTTTTTTTTTTTAGTCAAATTCTTTTGGAACCTATTTAAATAATATAGTATTTTAGTGAAGGTGTGCCAGTGCAATTGTTTTTCGAACTGTTCCTGTCAAAAGAAGTGTCTCAGCAGCACAAAATACAAATTTTCAGTTTTGGAAGAACAATACTTAGCAGGGTATTCAGGCGTAGAGAGTAGCACTTTTATTTTTTTAGTATTTAACCCATCTAATTACTAAATTTAAGTGTATGTCCACCACCTTAAAACATCTTTTTAGAAGATTACTCATGCCCTGGAGTTCAAGCAACCAATTTCTGTGGCCCCCTAAATCTGTGACAAAATGAAAGGAATTAGCCTGAACTTGCTTTTTGTATGCATTCTTATGAGCAGCAATTATGTAATATCTTGATTGTGCTACGTGACTCAGGTGTCGTTTGCAGAGTCGACCACGGAGGCTGACCATGTGTTTTCCTGCATTCCTTCTCGCAGTAAGTAACAAAGTTTGCACTTAACTGTCTTAAGGACTGCCAGGAATTTTTTTTTTTTTTGGGGGGGGAAGGGGAGGTCACTATGCGTGGTTATATTGCCACACGCGTCAGCGAGTGACCGCGTGCGCATCCGAGTCGTTACCGCGCTTGACTGTCGCGCGGTAAGTATAGGTTCGATTCCAGTCAGTGGAATGTTCTTTTATTTATCCTTTCAACATTGCATTCTCGTGACTTCGAGATCATTCTTGTCTGATCGAGTTCCAAATGTTCTAGTCACCAAACCTTCTAGGCTGATTGTTCCAGAAGCCGACGCGCGTACATAAGGGGCTCTGCTTGGCGATCTGCGATCAGTTTAGCCCCAGCGTTCGACTCTGCTGTCACACCGACTTTGATGAGCGCAACGCTCTGCTGTTTTCTTTTGTTTCCCTTTTTATTTTTGGGGCACAAGTTTGCCCCATTAAACATTTCAGTTTCCCCAGTTATTCTTTGTTTCACCTTGGCATTCATGACAATATTATAGAGTCTGCTGGATTTTGGGGGGCGGCTGAAGCCCCATAAGCCTACCCCCTGGCTACGCCACTGGGACTGCCCAGTTGTTTAAGGCATAAATGTTCCATGCATTTTAAGTGCTTGTCACTGTTAATCAAAGGATGCTAGGCCATGGCTGTGCACTTTATGAGGGTTTAGTTGTTTTTTTTACACTAAAGCTGTTAAGGGCCAGCTCCCCCATTATCGTGTCCGCGGACAAGCGGCGTGTCAACACAAAAACTCGAGCCAGTTCACCGTCGCCCTACGTTGTCATCTCACCTACCATTCGTGTGTGTCCTGTATCCCGTGATATCGACATCGCGTTAGCGCTCTTATCAGTTGCCCTTTGGACTCACGATGGGTTGGCCGTGCGCTGTTCGAGGAAGAAGAGCAAGAGCGCAAGGGGTGGCGACGTGCGCAGCAGTGCAAATGGCTGCGCAAAACGCCACGAAGCCGCAATTCCTCGCGTTCCACTGAGCCGAGTGGTTCCGAATCCTTTGCAAAAGAAGAGCAGATTGCTTGCCTGGAACACCGCCGGGAACAGAAGTGGCGGTGTGGCCGGGGCCGGCGGGCCAATGCCACGGACGACGATTGTACCACAGAGCCAAGTACAAACACAAGGCCCGGTGATTACAGGACGCCACACCGGCTGAACTGTTTTTATAAGTATACTTCAATCACAATCATCTGGTGGGCTAGTTGGTTGATCATATTGTTGAATTAACAGCGCAAATACGACAAGGAAGGAGAGACAAGGGAGACAGGATAGAGCACTGAACTAACAACTGACGTTTATTGAAAAGAAGAGGAAAAAGAACCGAAGACTGCTTTTAAAACATGCATAATAAAAACCCGCAAAAACATACGCTATAGCTCGAGTTGCCTGAAAAGGAATTGCTCAGAATACCAAGCTTTAAGCTGCTCGCTTAAATGACTTGTTGAAAACGATTGAGTCCTGGGACGACGTGAATAGAAACTCCAATAGAAAAAAGAAAGAGGAAGTTTATGTTTAAAATATTCGCAGATGCTAAGGATCGTTAAAGATCGCGACTTAAAAAGTAAAGTTCTTTTGGTGACAAGGCCACGGACGGCGCGCTTACGCAGGCATCCCCACCAGACAGAATAACCTGTGCCTTGTAGAGCTCGCGAGTTCGTCGTTCCCCGAAACGTTTCAGGATTTTTGTTTTCCTGAACAAGGCGGAGCACTGGCAGTCCCTGACATGTATGGCAAAGTGGCCTGCTGGCGATGACTTTAGTGACACGGCATGTTCTCTTAGACGATCGTTGACACACCTTCCTGTCTGACCCACATACACTTTCCCACAAGTAAACGGTATTTCGTATTTGACTGCACATTGACATTCGACATATCTTTGTTGATGTTGAACTCCACACACACCCTGTTGCTGCTGCTTGTTAATTTTCGGACACAACTTCTTTAGTTTGTCTGGTGCAGACAACACGACTTTGATGTTAAACTTCGATGCAATCTTCTTAAGGTTGTGGAAAATGCGGTGAATGTAAGGAAGCACCGCCGGTCCGATATTTGTGTCCCTTTGTATCGTCTGTCATCCCCGTGAGGTGATAATAGACTCGGCGACGTCATACAAGATGGAACTTGGATAGCCAGAGTCTTGAAGACTCTGCACTTGATCATGAAAGCTTTCCCTCGCTGAATGTACACAGGATCACTTGATCATGAAAGCTTTCCCTCGCTGAATGTACACAGGATTTCTTTAGCGCCGCATTTAGGGAGTTTTTTACAATTCCTCTCTTAATAATCTTCAAATGTGCCGAATCGTATTGCAGGAGGCCTTTCTTTGACTTTGGGGCATACTTCCAACAAGTATGATGTTCAAAGAAAGACAGTCGTAGATCCAAGAATTGAAGGACGGTGTTAACTGGTAACTCACGTGTGAACCTGAGCCCTTGTCCTTTTTCGAAGAAGGTGGATTGTATGGTGTCAAATATTTGTAATTCATTGTCTGCCGGACGTTGTGTGAGGAGAACCAGGTAGTCGTCCACGTACCTGAAAATACTGGAAACTTGGCCGATGGGAAGGGCATTAGCTATTGCTCGATCACACTGCAATAGAAAAATATCGCAGAGGACCGGAGCCACGCTCGACCCTATACAAATACCTTTCTTTTGCAAGTAAGTCTTGCCCTCAGACGCAACGATCGTGGCAGAAAGGTAGAATTGCAAAAGTTTTAGAAATGATTCTTCCGAAATTCCACATTCTTTTTGAAAGGACGTGGTTCCCTTTGCCTCAATAGACTCTTTGATGGCTGCAAATAATTTTGAATCTGGGATCGAATAAAACAGGTCTTCCATATCGAGCGAAAATCCGTACCTGACTGTCGATGTATCCTGCTGAAGGTACTGTATAACCTCCTCGGAGTTTGGTATCGGAAATGGATCATTCAGTACGAGGTTAGACAGGTGACTGAGTAAGAAGCGTGACATGAACCCTTGCCATGAACCAGGGCCGTACCCAGAAAAAAATTTCGGGGGGGGTTTTCGGGGACAACGGCGGACATTTTGAAAGTGTCTATTGTCTTATTTTCGCCTATGAATCATGTGCATCGGTGGTATATAATGGAGAGTTGCAGCAAACCGGAGAACCGGTCCCGGTTTGATATCCGGTAGCCGACCGGCGCCACTGCGCGTGCGCAGAGGTGGAGATTAAAATCGGCTGGCTGCAAGTGCACCGACCAGGGCCGCACCCAGAAAAAAATTTCGGGGGGGGTCAGAACCCCCTATCCCCCCCCCTGGTTACGGCCCTGCCATGAACCCTTTTCAGTGACAACGACCCGAAAAGGACAACCGTCGTTTTGGGTTTTGGTTGTGAAAAACATGTCTAAATGATCTTTTTTGGTAGTCGATATCAACTTCATTTGCATCAACTCAAGCCTGGTGCACAGTTGGAGTGCCATGGCCTTCACCTTTTTGGTTTTGACTTCTAGATGGTTAAAGTTCTTGTCTATGGCTACTCCTGCCTTTTCCAGGTAGTTTGTTCTCGATATAACCACAAAGCCCCCTTCCTTATCAGACACCAGCAGGTGTAAGTCGTTTGCGAAGAGGTATTCAACTAAACGAGACATGTTCATCTTTCTTTGACTTGTTGAATGGCTTTCAGCATGGATTTCGCAAGGATTTGTCTACTGTCACTCAGCTTGTTGAAGTTGTGCATGATTTTTCCGAGATTTTGAACCGCAGGGGTCAAGTTGACGTAATATTTTTAGACTTAAGAAGGCGTTCGATAAGGTTAACCATAGGAAGTTATTGATCAAGTTAAAATCTATTTTAAAGAATCCCGTATTAATCAGATGGTTAGAGATGTTTTTATATGAACGGAGGGAATTCGTAGAAATCAAAGATAAGCACTCCGATATGAGTGATGTCAAGTCGGGAGTCGCCCAGGGTACAGTCCTCGGACCGCTATTCTTCCTAATATTTGTAAACGACATAGTTAAAAACCTTACCGTCCAGGCTAGATTATTCGCCGATGACTGCATATTGTATACAGAAATTAAGACGCCCATGGACCAACTTAACCTAAATACATGTGTTGTGCGCATTGGTGAATGGTGCAGTACATAGCAAATGTCGTTAAATTTTGAAAAAACCGTTTGCATGACAGTTACTCACAAAACTAAACCCAGTGTGTTTGCATATGAGCTAGAAGGAAACCCGATTGAAAGGGTTAGCAAATACAAATATCTGGGTGTGACCTTTTCTCACGATCTATGCTGGGGAACGCACATAGATAATGTTGTTAAACAAGTGAACGCCAAATTATGGTAGCTAAGACGGTCCCTAAAACTGAGTTCAGTCAACACAAAACTTTTGGCATATAAAACGCTTGTCAGGCCGGTTATGGAATATGCATGCGAAATCTGGGACCCCACACTAAGCAAGATGCCCTTAAATTAGAAAGAGTGCAGAGGCTCGCTTTGCGCTTTATATTTTCTAAATATCGTCGATTAGATTCACCAACGGCTTTGTACTCGAGAGCCAAATTTTCGCTACTAAATACTAGGCGTAAATAGAAAAGGTTAAAATGTCTTTACATGATTCTTAATGATTATCTACAGATAGACAAGACAGCTTACTTAATTCCCGATGCGTCTAGAATTACACGTAACCAACATAGTCATGCCCTTCACCAGCCCTGCTGCTTCAAAGACTGTTTTAAGTATTCTTTTTTTCCCCTAACGATAAGCGAGTGGAACTCTCTCCCAGAACAAGCAGTATCGTGTCAATCGCTGGAATCTTTTTGTTTGTATCTTGCATTTGATGACGTGGGCAGCAATCCTTGAAATTGCATGTTTATTTAATTACTTTTCTCTCGTTTTGTCGTGTCATGATTTCCTGCCAGCGTCATTCTTCCACTGTTGTACTGATTTTACATTTTTCCCCAGCGCCGAATGATTCTTCTGTAATATATTTTTAGGACAGGTTTGCAACAAATGCAGTTGTCAAGTTTTTGTTGTGTTCTTTTTATTTTTTTCCTTCAGTGTTTTTCAAGTTTTTGTTCATGCCCTCCCTATCACATAGTACCATGTAGTGACTGATAGTATTTTGAAATAAATAAAAAAAAAAATTAAAAAAAGACTAGGTGGTGTATATCCTCCCCTCTGTACCCTCCCATCCTCCTCAAGAGCTGTGCTCTAACTCGACACTACGGAGAATTGTAAATGTCTCATTTTTTTCTTGCGCTGTTTGCACCCACTACGAATTTTCAAATTCAAATTTCATGGTGCGGCATCAATTCTCCAAATAATATATGCCCTTCAAGGATGTCTTAAAAGGTTAATCAAAACCTGTTAGTCGATTAGCAAACTAATTAACCCATTTTGCTTCATTTCCAGTAACCTACATTGCCGCCAACTTTGCACACAAGGGCCTAATGCAAGGTTTTTTTTTTTTAAAGATTCTGGACCCACTAGAAAAAACATTCTGTGTGTAAAGTGCATTCAGCACCTACCGTATTTACTCGCATAATGAAGGCACTTGCATAATGAACGCACCCTCACAATGGGTACCAATATTTGGACTTCCTTTCCCTTCCCGTAATGAACGCACCTCCAATTTTCGGCTCGGCGAGTCTCAAAATGCGTCCAACTCACCAAGCCAATTTTGTTTTGTCGCTGAGCGGTCGAGCCAAGTCAAGCCAAGCCAAGCCGCTCTCGTAATGGCTGTAAGTGCATAGTTGTGGAAGTAATCAACTGTAAAACCGAGCAGCGCGCACACTTGGCGAAGCTTGGGTCGAGGAATTGCCCAGCCCCGGACATTTTCCGCTTATCAAATGCATTGATGCCAACAAACACACCGTTGTCTGTGGTCTGCTTTTGGACAGTGAAGTCGTGAAGATGGTTAGGCCTAAGTACAGATGCGTTGCTCTCCGTGCTGAGCGAGCTTCGTAGGGCTCTTTTCCTTTGACAAAAGGAACTTTGAAAGTGCCTTAAAGAGGTTCGCAATTTATAAAGCATGGTTATTGCGGCACGCCCCCGACCTGCTGTGGGTGTGCCTCCATCAGTGGAGACGTGCCTGCATGAAGTGTGTAAATGCAAAAATTTTACCCGGCGTAATGAAGGCGTCCTCCAAATATGTGTCACTTTTTCGGGAGGAAAAGTGTGTTCATTATGCGAGTAAATATAGTACTTGTTAACTCCGATATATTTGGGTGACAGCATTTGGGCCTTGAGAGTGTTGAGGATGGCAAATTTGACGTCCTCGCAGGACTGTCCCAGTTGATGACCCACGACTGGCCAGAGCTGGCAAGCATGTTGCTCGGTATTCCAACGGTACACGTGGCCTCTGTCAACCTCGAGTACAAGGGCAAGGTTTTGCCTCAGCAGGTGAGTGGTTGGTTCATTTGCACAACTTTTGTGCCAAAGTTTTTATAAAGCAGAATGTTGCATCAAAGTCTCTCGTCGGGAGGCTGTTTCACGGTGTTGGCCGTATTGTGCTCGTTTTACCAGGCAAGCAGCATGTTGTCAAAAACAAACGGAGCATGCTCACATTTGTCGCAGGTGGCTTTGGTGCTGGGAGGGGGCGAGCAAAGCAGCGATACCCTGGCCCTTTCGCCGATAATAGTCACGGTCGAGGCGAGATGCGTTCGGCCGATCGCGATTGTACCAAAGGTCATGTGATTGCACACCATTGCCACCTGCTCTTTCTCACCTTCGGTGGTCCGTTCCCTGGGCGCTCTAAGCCTCTGCATGCAAGAATGGGGCGGCCGAAGCGTACACCGGAGCGAGTGGCAACTACTTGGCAGACTAAACATGCCCGTGAGAGGCCGTCGTCGACACGTTGGCACCGACGGTATCGGATCGGATGTTAGGATAGAACGCACTCGACGTCGAGATTGTGCCGTGTGGGAAAGTGAGGCGGCACGTAGAGGAGAAAGTTACCGAGCGAAGAAAGGACACGCTGGTGCGACCGTGCAACTTGTGCAGCGCGTCTGCGAGAACGTGTTCGATGCCAGCTGTTTCGTGTGCGATCGGTTGTGGTTTACACGAGACACCACACGGCGCAACATTGACGGAATTTCCGTTCAATCGCGAAGCAATACAATAAAAATGACGCACCAGGTGATGCTATCGATTTGCATCACGTCGCGCGATTGCCGGTGCAATTTTTGATAGGAAATAATTTTATGCTCCTCGTAGTGCGAGTGTTTTGCGGAGCGAGTGTTGGCATTGGAAATTCTTGCAATGCTGCCAATCTCTGCTAGTTTTGTGCTGGAGAGTAACTGTGGGTTCCCATTGCAGGCTCCTGGATTTCTCGTGCCATCTCGGGAGGTGCCTCACGTGCTTAGCGTATTGTTTGACTCGTGCTGCTTTCCCGAACATGACGGGCAGTACGACGTCAAGACTCGGATAACCGTGAGTAGTGCTGTGGCTCTTCTCATGAAATGTACGGCTTCATTGTCTTTTCCTACTCTATTCCATCTTCACATGGGGATTGTTTGTTCACCATTTACCTTTAGAGTGTATAATTGTTTGTTGGAAATGCCTCATTTTATTTAATGATATTTTTTATTAGTGAGGTACAAAAATACAGCTTAAAAAATATTTACTGGTTGCGCTACTGCCTCACTAAAGGATAGTACAGCTACGTTTGAATGAGGGGATAATTCCAACGACCCGCAGTTCTTCTGTTGGTGTTGAGGATCCTAGAGGTATTATGTCGGGGTTATATGTTTGACTTGTTTCCCCGAAGATGCCTTAGAAATATGAGATGTAAGAAATAAGATTGCGGCAAGCCAAAGGAGAGTAGGCATATGTGCAGTGAACAATACTGAATGTTTTTACAGTGGCATAATCAGAGTTATAGTGCGGTCGGCGCCTTAAATCTGACAACAAAGAGGGAAGGCCATTATGCAAGGATGTGAAAGATTAGATTGCCAAATAAAAAGCAACAAGAAAAAACAAGTGCAATTTGTAATTATTTTAATACTTGATGAGCTCAGTGCTATTATAGTGTGTGTCTTAGACACATTACACTTGAACCTCTTTATAACGAACACTTATATACCGAATTATCGGATATAGCAAACTAATCACGAAGTTTGGTTGATCATGCTTTATTTGGATGGGAGTTCTGGTTCTATAATGAAACCGAAACCGTGAGATCTGACGCGCTACCGGTTATAGCGAAGCAATTCCTGCTTTTCTTGCATCGCAAAGTACTATGAAAGTTATTAAGGAGTAGAAAAAACAATACAAAGAGTATTTTCAAAACGATAAATTCCGAAAGTTTAGATCGCCCAATGTGCAAAAAGTTGCGCTCGGGAGGTAGCGCCACCTATGAACCGAGCAGATAATGGCGGGGGCGCATCTGCTGGACTCAATGTGTGGCATCAAGAACCAGTGCAGAGTGGCGTGTCTGGCACACCACGTCAATCGCAGCAGAGCTGCAAATGGCGACAAAGCGGAAAGCTGTTTCTCTGGAAAAAAAAAGTGACGGTTTTGAGGGCAGTGGACAGCGGTCGGAAGAAAAAAGACATCGCTGTGGACTTTGAGCTTGGACCAAGCGCGATATCTGCCATCCTGAGTGCAAGGAAGAAGATTGAAATCCGCTATGCAAACAACACCTTTAAAATTGACCGAAAGGTCTTAGGCCTTGCCTCTACCCGGACATTGGAGAGGCTCTGTTCTCATAGTTTAAAGGGGTACTCCGGCAATTTTTTGAGCTACCTCAACTAACTATATTTTCTGACTCCCTGGCCTTTGTCCTTTCCGGTATGCTATTTAGTATCGTGAAATTCATAATAGTTATTGTGAAATTGGCAAATGAAGACGATGCAAAAACCAACATCTAAATATACTCGCACTTTGCAGTGCCGGGACGTCAGTGGTGGGCAGGCCTGCCAGTCGAGCAAGCAGTCTAGAAAATAATAGAATATGCCAATCATTTGTTCCGTGCTGGTGCGCGGGTACTGCAGCGAGCCTCCAAAGCAAGAATTTGACACCATGAAACTGCTTGGAATCAGTTGGGAACAAATTCTACAGTCCAAAGAGTGAACCCCTGCCCTCCACTGACGTCACTTTTTCGTTGTTGCCAGTAGAGACATGGTGACGACCAAAATTGTAAATTCAGTAACTTCGCGGAAAAAAAAATATTTTTACCTAATATTGGGGGTACTATTTTAGCAGTGTTTCTTGGCAAGTTTAGCGAAATTTTAAGCAAATCAGGGACCGTGAAGAAATCGCCGGAGTACCCCTTTAAGGACGTAAAAGCGCGAAATCTGCCAGCATCTGGTCAGCTTCTTCAAACGAAAGCAATCATTCTGGCGTGTCTGTCAGGGCATGATGGCCTTAGTGCGAGCAGCGGTTGGCTCCAGTGCTTGTAGAGCCGCCATGAAGCCGTTTGCCACACATTGCCTGGCAAAGCCTCCGCCGTGAGCAGAGACATGCGAGAAGTGGCTGGAGAACTTCCGACCTCTACTTCAAGAGTGCGACAAGTGAAACGTGTACAACGTTGACGAGACCGGAGTGTTTTTCACTCCGGTTTCGTCGTTGCGGCCAACATGGGTGGCTCTGATGAAAGGCGGCTTATTGTCATCGAAAGTCTGCTCAACCCATTTGCCTCCGGAACGCTAGCAACTGCAGGGAGACTACTGCAGTGGTTCACTAAAAAGGCCTGGATGACGTCGAAGTTGTTCGAGGACTGGCTAGTGGCTTTTGACAAGGACATGGATGGGCAGCACAGGAAGGTTCTGCTGCTTTTGGATAACTGCTCCGTGCTCTAGGTGGCGACTTTACTGAAGGCAGTCCGCTTGATGTTCCTGCTACCGAACACACCTTCTGTCCTCCAGCGTTAGATAAAGGGATCTTCTGATCTCTGAAGTACTTTTATCGAAAGTGCTTGGTGACGCAGGTCGTCTTTGACATCAACCAGGGCCCGTTTGCTCGAAGCCAGTTAACTTTAACTGCGGCTAAAAGTTAACCGCCCTTCTCTACTAGGTACCGACAAGTACCTAGCCAAGTTTGACGAGGGCTGGATGAGCGATATCTCAGTGTTTAATTATGGGGTGGTAGCTGGTGTCACCTGCTGGTTGTAGCGAATATAACTGGCTTCCGTGGAAAAAGTTCCCGAAAAGGGGGGGGCCAAAAACGCGCGCTACCGGGTTTTCGCGATGCAGCACGGCATACATTTGAGCTTAAGAAACACTTTTTGCTGCTGGTTGTGCAGATACTGATTAAGGTAAAATTAAATTAACCCTTGCTTGGAAAACTTCTAAATGTTTGGCTGTCTGAAATGAAGAAGGCAAGCCTCGTTGATATTTCCTTCCAAGTTCGAAAGACGACGACGAAGTTCAGTCCTAGAAACGATGAGGGAGAAGTGAGCAATAAAGGCAGGCAGTACACCGGCAGCATGGTTGGCCAGCACGTAAGAGCTGTATATAACACCATCATAAATTGAAAACCGTGTAATTATCTCCAGTGAAAATAGACTTATTATTAAATTACCCAACCATCGAGGAAAACGCTGAAAGTGTAATTCTACGCTCCGTGCGTGCTGGCCTTCCCCGTATAAAAGATTCGAAGTAAATAACCAAAATAAAGCGCTCACGAACGAACGTGCAAGATGAAATTTGTTGTAGGCATTTGCTTTAGAAAAGTTACTACTGCTAAGGTCAGCACGTGCGGTGTGGGGAACACCAATAACTGCATTCTTCTTGATGCTTGGGTAATCTAGCAATAGGTTTATTGGGATGCTGTCTGCTTCTGCGTGCTATCAATACCCGGCCGACTGAGTCAAGGCAATCCACTTTCCAAAGACGTTGCCATGCTGACAATTATTGCATTCATTTAGGCTTAGGAATAACCAGAATCGAAAGGCTATCTAAATAACGCAGCGAGGTCGTTGCTCATGCTTTGCGATTTAAGTGAGGTAAGGCAAAGCGAAAGCGCACTGCACCATTCATTGCTGACTGACGCGCCCAATATTGCAGCTACTAGGACATATTAGCTCCAAAGCGAGCAGCGCTCGTTTGCCGGGGTACTGCCATTCTTCCCCGCCGTCCTTACTCTGCCGGTCACATGACCTGAAATTCCCCCCTCGTAGGGAAATGCGGTTAACTTTTAAGCACAGTTAAAGTTAACCGGCTTCGAGCAAACTGGCCCAGGGGAAATCCACAGCCATCAACATGAAGATGACGCTGGAAATGTTGTATGGGTCATGAAACGACGTGAGACAGTGGACAATAAGAAACTGTTTTGTGGACGCAGGCTTCGTTCCACTCGCTGATGAGGTTCAGCCCAAAGACCCGACAAAGCGACACAACGAGGCTACCTGGCATCGGTTGACACTGCTGAACGTCTCATTTAAGGATTTCGTTTCTGCCGACGACAGCTTGGTTGTGGCGCCCGAGCCTACCGATCAAGAAACTGGATCGTGTTGTGTTGCTCGGCGATGACAGCAGCAGCGACAGCGATGACAACGACAGCAAAGACGACACTGAAGAGCCGCTGGCAATTAGCGCAGATGCCGCAAGCATGGTCCGGAAGCTGCACAAGTATTTAGAGAAGCTCCCCACTGCCAAAACGGCTGAAGTGGTGAAGGTGCTCTCATGTATGGCCACTGTGGAGAACTTCATTCTTCAAAACGCTGTGAAGAATGTGGGGTCCCGTCAGCCCCCATCTGGTTGACAACCGGATGCCGGCGCCTGGGGACTCGTTTTCGGTCCCCTTCGTAGCGAGGACAGCGCCTTTGAGGTTTGGTTTCCGAGTGCCTCCTCCCTCGGGACCGATCTTGAAGACATTGGCGGTGTCGGCGGTGGACATCATAGGACCCCCCTCCCGGACAGCGTCGGCGCCCGAGGCCCTGCGCGTACTGCGGCAGAGCCAGACGGGGAGCTCCAGCGAGAGACCGCCCAAGATGGGAAAGAAGAGGCTCCGGCCGGTCTGGTACGCGGTGACGGCGGGAACAGCGGGGAAAGCTCGGACGACGAAAAATAGGAAAGGGACTCTTGCGCGGGAAACGGGCAACGACGGACGTACGCGCTGGTGGCGACCGCGCCACCGGCTCGGGCGATGGCCCGGTGACATGGTCCGGATTTAGACCCCGGATTCGATCCTCGACGGCGACGTCCATAGGACGTGGTGTAGACTAGCACCGCACGGACGATCGGCATGCAGCATACAGTGGCAGCGCAGCCCCTCCAGGTTTCCTCGATCACCGGTCCCGACCCCGAAACCCCCCAGCAGAATGTGAGTGGAATAAACCCCTTCTGCCGAGAGCTATGCGTTGCTGTGTCACGTTCATCCGGAGACAGGAGCCCGGGGAATCGGAAGAGAACCCTACAAAAGGCACCAGCCCAAAATCATATCTTCCTTCAAATAAATGAGATGATGGATTCAGCAAACGTCGTTTCTCGTGTTGCAAATTAATATTGTCATGTTCCGATCTATTTTTTTAATGTTGCTTAGTGATACATAAGGATCTCGAGTTCCATGATAGCTCGTTTTTATATCGTAGTTCTGCGCATGTTCTTGCACGGACTCGATTGCATGAGCGTTCGCATCGATTTTTGTGTGTACTTTTATAACGAATATCGCACATAGTGAACAAATTTCTGCTGGGAGTGCTAGTTCGTTTTAATGAGGTTCGATTGTATCTGCTTTTATACAATCTCTAAAGGTCACATGCAAAGAAAAACCCATGTAGTTTTAGAGATCAAGCAGACTGTCACTGCCCATTTTAAACTCGTAGTGTCTAGAGTACCGTCCGACGGCACTCCTGCAGAGCGTTCAAGTGCCGTCCGACGGTACTCCACTCACGCGTTCAAGTGCCGTCCAAAAGTCTCGTATAAAACGAGTTCTCAAAACGAGATTTACAAAGCGGAGTGTAGCTTAGAGGTAAGATGTCTGTCTCATAAGGGGTGATGTGAGGCTTTAGAGTGATTTTCTTTTTTATAAAAGAATACTTGTCATATTATACACTGGTATAACACATTTCACACCTATTCCAAATATGCAATCAGAAATTGAATATCTTTACTAGAACCTGAGTTATGGGAGATTGGTCTAATTTGATTAGGTCATTTATTACGGGTCGTTAGAGAAAAATTATTTGTATATTATCAACATTTTTAATGCAACTGCATTCACCAAGGTGTAATTTGTGCGGTGATGCTATTTTAGATCTTAACTGAGAGGGTTATGTTACTAAAAAACGATTGTAATTATAGTGTAAAAGAGATGCTTTCTCATTATTTAAGAAAGTAATTAATTGGATAGAACACTTAAAAGTTGGAAGACTATAAAAATAGCATCACCCCACAACTCCATTTTTCCCGATTAAAATGGCACCAAACGTGTTAATATTGTCCAAGACAAACCTCAGAAAATGCCTGTGAGCATCGGTACTTGTGAAAAAAGTGTGAAGAGAGAAAAAAGCCCTTGAAGTACGTGTATTTCTATTGAATGTTCGTAGAAAATTAAGACTTCATATTTAAAAATTAGATGCAGCAATAATATTTTGCACAGAGCTGGGTGGTTATGTCTAAATACCAGAAAAGCCATTTTCTCAAAAGTGAATTTTCCCAAACTTTTTACCATTTAAAGACTAGCCTCCCCCCTAAGCAAGTGATCCCTGGTTCCATCCCCAGTGCGGGCTTACTTTTTTGTTTTTGTTTTCTCGTACATTTTATTTTGCCGACGCATTTGGCGATATTTACATTTTTTTTTTTTTTTACGATTAACCCAGGAAAAAAACGAATGTTGCCGCCGAAATTTTGCTGAACGAATTGGTATGGGACTTTGCTTCTGGAGGTGCATGAGGTACAGTGGGGCTTGGTTTGCTGGCTGGACGCCGCAAAGCGGTGTGTACAACGGGGCCAAATGGGTCAATAGTTTTGTAGTTAGCAGCCGCATACTGTCGGCCGCGAAGCGGCGTGAACGCTGGCGGGGGGCTGGCTTAACACACTCCCCAGTGATACACGCGCCCTCCGACTCTCTTTCGGACGGCACTTGTGGGCGTGATTGGAGTGCCGTCGGACGGCACTGTAGACACAGCCTTTTAAATTTCATTGATATGTTTATTTTCTTAGTGAGTTTGCATACAGTTAGATCTACAGAAATCATATTGAGGTGAAAAAAGATGCCGAATCATTACATCAAATTTTGCGTTTCGACTCATAATAGCACAAGCTAGTAATCCTTGCGTATGAGTCAAAAATGTTAGTTGTAATGTTGGGAATAATTAACAGTCAGTCCTCTCAAGTCAGTTGTCTCCCTAACTCGTGCTTCTCCCGAAGTTAGAAGGTCAAGCGTGTACAGCCAGTGTCCAAAGTCGAGTAGATAGTAATTGTGTCTCGGCGTATGTTTAGATGGCGGGAAGTTACTCATTGTTTCTGGTGTCTCAGCTGCAGATGAGAAATTCAGCCAGTGCAGTACCACTGCTCGGCTGGGTCTTGAATGTGCATCGTGCAGTAGTGATTACACAAACACACGCCGGTACGGTGCTCATCCAGATCGAAACGGGCAGGGTGGGATATTGAAGCTAGGATATTTGGGTTCTGTAGCACTATCTTTTGCTCCATATGCTCAGAGCTGTGGTGTGTTAACATGCTCAGCCACCAACCCACCCCCCCCTCCCCACCCCCTTTCCTCCCCTCATTGTTAATAGAACAAAACTGACAGACACTAAAACAATTTTATTTTTTCCGCAATCGCCAGTGATTGACAGCGGCATTTAACCTTCCAGTGCCTACTTGGTGGCCGCTGGTTCAAGCAACAGTTTGGAGAAGTGGATGCGGTGGATTCGCGGACACTGCTCGAGTCAGCCCAGCTGGCGGCACAGACCTACTTGGGCATCAGCCAGTCGCCGGTCAGGCACAGCGTTGACCTGCTCAAGGTGCGGCCCGCATTTCGTCCTCTCGTTTACCTGCCTCGACGACGAGTTCCCCAGCGAGGACTGTTTTTACCGAACAGTCCAAACATCCCCTCGAAAATCACATGTAATAGTATAGGAGCGTTGTTTTTCCGTGTCAAACTCCCATGGCGGGGACAGTCGATATAGCAGCGAACACAGCACAGCCGCTCGCATGGGTGCCCGTCTGGGTACCCGTCGCTTCTCCTGCAGTCCGATTGCGCCTGTGGCGCGTACATAGCTCGCGTTGCCGTGCTGGCAAGCCGCCAAGCCAGCATTTGCGCACGGAGATGCGCAATAAAAAAGCAATTCTAAAGGAACAAAAAAATGTAAAAAAAAAAGAAAAGAAAAGGGGATGGCAAAAGCGAGGGGAAGGGCACGCACGCACGTAGGGAGGGCAGGGAGTGCTCACTGTTGGAACAGTAGCCTGCGCTCTTTCCCTGTACACTGCTGTGGCTGCGCGTCTTTGCGTCTTTGTCTTCGTCAAGTCGAGTGTGTTCTGTTGACAACAATGGTTGAGCAATTGCACTTTGAACCCCTTATCCTTGTTTGCCTTTTTCTTTCGCGGTTGTTGCTTTGCCAGTTTTTTTTTCTTTTTTTGCCTTTTTGCTGCCTTAATTTAGTGAGGTTTCTTTTTTGTTGCTTGCTTAACTTCTATAAAGTTTTTTTTTTATGCAGCGTGTTTTTTTTTTTTTTTCTGTTTTTTTAAAAATTATTTTTGTGCTTTGTTGGCGCTTTGTGGAGGTCGCGGCCAGGTGTGAATGATTGCAAACACCGTCACGTAAAGGTGGCGGTGTTTGTCATCTTCACCAACTAAGTTCTTCTGTATTTAGCTGCTCTTGGAGGCTCTATTTGGTAAGGTCCCGTTTGTCGCAGTCTTCGGTATTCGCAGAGACGTGCGGAAATTTCAATTGGAGCTTAAGTTAACATATCTATGTATATGAAATTATCGATATATCAAACTATTTTATGATCCCCTTTGAATTCAATATATCCGGGTTTGACCGTACGTCAATCTTTTGCCACGTGATCACGCTCTCGCCCATACCCACGCATCGAAAGCTGGATTAGAGGATGTAAGGCAGGGGCGGTTGATTGGCTCGGCGAACGCGTAGCTCTCGCCGCACTTTCGGCTTAGGGATGAACAAAGTACTGCTGAGCCACAAAGAATTTTCTTACGAATCGTTGCCACCGAGTGGTGCATTGCGTGGCTGGCTCTCTGGCCCATTGTGAGTGCCTGCGGCTTCCTGAGTACTATGATAACCAGGGTGTTGGACCAAAACTCTTTTCGGTTTGGTTCAGGTTATGGTGCAGATATTGAAGTTTGGTTCAGGTTCAGCTTCGGAGCGTAAAAAATAATGGTTCAGACCGGTTCATATGACGGTTCAAGGAAAAGTAAAAAAATTAACCAAAGTATTTGCACGCCTCTACTGACATGAAGTGCATTACTATGGTGTAAAATAAGTGTTCATTTATTACTTTTGTTTAATCCATGTGTCTATTAGAATGATCTGCAAAAATTCAAGACGGGTCAAGTCACTGGATACCAACCTTTTATTCACCGAACACAAAATTAAATATACCTACTGCAAAGGATTGCATGGGTGCCTCTTTAAGATTGTTACATGCACAAGCAATACTAATTTTACTGATGTGTGCGCTCTCCCTTGGCTGCGTAAAACGACCGGAGGAAAATGAAAAAGTACTTGACCACAACACTGGAAAAGGAGGCAGCAATTCCCAAGCTAACAGAAAGTTGCCCAACGCGAACGGAGGCGTAACTTAAAACAAGGCGCTCAGGCGTAAACTCAAACAGGACACTATTTATGGCTTTTTTTAAGCCCGCTTAGACGTAATAAAGGCAAGTTATTTAATGTGCTGATTTTTCGGATTTCTCTATTATTCAGGCGTTTTTTGGTCTTTGCGAAGTTAGAAAAATTGGTCTGCGACTGTATAGCTCGGTGTGCCGGGACTTTTCCTATTCCCAAAATTCCAAGGCATTTCTACCCTTGTTAATTTGGGGCACCTTTTCAAAGCCGTCCAGTAGGGTCAAAATCATTATCGCCGGTAAAGCGTTACTTTTCTTCAGTAATGCCTAACGTACTGGTTATGTTTTTGAAACAGTAACGAGTCACATACATTACTCATTTCGAGTAACAGTAACATAGTTACATTATTTGTTTCAAATTGTTTCCAGACTTTAAAAAATTACACTTAAATTTTTTTTGTGTGTTTCTAGGCGCCAAGTTATGTGAATTTCTGAGTTTATGGCATTTTTGGTGTTGTGAGCATTTAGGTGAAACTGTAAAAAATATAAGGTATGTTCAGTTTCTGTATGGACATAATCTTTCTTGAAATATGGCGCTTATGCATACCTCTCCTCTAATGTCAAGAAAGTAAAACATGTTGATTCATAATTTGAAAGAGGAATGTGCGTTATATTTTGCTGGTAATGATAACATGTTCCTTTTTTTGAGGCAACATATAGGTCAGTATTGCGTTCCTTTTATTTGCAAGTAACAAGTAACAAATTTCGTTACTTTTTCTCAATACGCCTACAACCTTGGTTTGAATCTCCCCAAACATCGAAAAATGGTCGCTAAGAATGGTCAGGCCAATTTTGTGGGAGTCAATAATAGCGGTTATTGGCCTTCGTTTTTGTAAAATATGCTTACAAAAATACAGTGTTGGGAAGTACTTTAAGGGGGGACACTACCTTGAATTGCACCTTTTTTTTTTTTTTGAAAAATGCATTATCAGAACTGCCGAGTTTGGGCATGTATGGATAACAAGGAACACTCTCACAAAGTCTTGTCAATGTGCACCGACAAACAATGGCAAAAATAATTATTCTTTATACGTTGGTGAGGCGTGCTGCACTGTGTTGCACTCGTCATCCACAAGTGAAAATAGCTGAAAGCACTGTCAGTATATCAGAAGAAGTTTGAGGAAGACATCACCTACACTGCTGGAAAGAATTTCTAACATTTAAGACGCAAAAAGAAACGTTTTAAAACGTCATCTTGAAACTTCAAGTGCATTTATCTCGGCTTCAGTTTTTGGCAGCAAATTCCACCTTATAAAACTATCGTTTTAGTAGGAAACTATTGAGAGACGTAATATTTGTGAATTATATGCCGAAATTTTATCGAGCCGGTTACTATGGAACTTAGATTTTGCATTTTCATGTTGGCATTAATGTGAAAAAATATTATAAATCTTTATTTTTGAAAATTACAATGTATGTGCAGAAGGCGTAGAAACGCTGACACTCCTACAGTTATTAGAATTAAACATTAAGTAAAAGAAAAATTAAGAATATATACAAGATGCGGCCCACACCCACGGCTATTCTGAAAGTAAGTGTACTCTGACTGATGTCTATTTGTGGTTTGACGAAGAGTTAGCTTCTGTGACATGTGCACTTTTCACAGAAGGAATGCATATATTGGTGAAGCACAAGGAGTACACCTCACATCCCCAGCAGAGTGATTTCTTTGTGTTCGACCTTGGTTTTGTCATGGCCTTGATTGCAGTTCCTTGATATTTAGCGTTTTTCTACGCCTTGTGGATAACATAAAACGTGCACGCCGGCTCAGGACGGCATTGGAAATTAAAGTGATGCTTACCAACAACCATCTGTTAAGCAACGCCTATAACTTCATTTGATGTGTCTCCAGAGCTCTTGAGGTCTAAAAATATGCCGCAATAGAGTTGAATTATGTAGATAATGCCATCTTTGTTACAAAGATTGAGGAAAGCAGCTAGCCATGTTAGACAAGTGTAGCTACTGCTCCCAGGACTATTTTTGACAGGTTCGAGCTTGTAATAAAGCTCAAACCTACATTGGAATTGAAACTACAGTTCTTTGGCTGTCCGTGAGATTGAGGAACATAATTCTCTGCACTAAATTTAATTTCTTGATGGAGCTTCGAAACCGTCGATCATTGATGGCCTATGGGTGCGGTCAGGAAAAAGTTAATGAACAGAAATCGAGACTTTTGTGTCATGTCGACGCTCATTCTTCCTGGTCTCTGGGTTGAACCCTCTCCAGCTTCTTTGCACCCTAAAATTTTTTTCGAGAGATCTGCTTTGTATTATTTGTATGCATTGCACATTCTCGGAGCATGTCATAAGCCTGTCCTTTGCTTCCCCTCAGGACTGCCTGCCCCAGTACCTAGTGGGCCATGTGCAGAAGCTTTCTGGAATCCAGCAGCACATTGCAGACCGAGGACTGAACCTGACCCCTCTGGGGGCCTCGTACCAGGGACTAGGGGTCAACGAATGCATCTACAATGCCCGCCTGGCGGTGGAAGGCTATCTAGCCAAGCTCAGGACCTAGTCACCTTCGGCGCTGTCATTGTATGGGACAGGCTCTGGTGGTGGTGGCCAGTGACATCTCCTCCACTCTTAGCGTTGCTTGCTTCTGGTCATGTGAAGGTCGATTTATCGAAAAGAAGGAAATTTTTAGAGCCGGTCGGGTTGTGTGAGAACTGCTTTGGGTGTTTGCAACAAGACATCAGATGATACACAGGGGAACAGAGCCTGGCCATGGCATGGTTGCTTTTTTATAATTATTGTTTATGAAGCTTGGAGCTCAACTGTGAGGTTTCTCCTGTTAAGCGTTGGCATTCAGTTCCGAGAAGGAGCTGCATTTTGAGCGAGTGCCTTTATTTATTTCTGGAAGGTTTAATTTTAAAGTTACTTAATGGACTATGTTCTTTTTCTGTTTTTTTTTCTTAAGGTTATTTTTGGCATCATCCATGTTTTGAAAGTTATGAACTTGGCATCATCCATGAAAATAGATGACGCCAAGTTTTGTATGAAACGTCGGGATGTACACTTTGCCATGTGGTTTTATTGCCAAAGGAGTGTGACTGGTGATATATATATAGCATAATTGCACCGTCTATATACAAAATAGGATTTTCTATTTGTTGCAATTTTGGTATTAAGGATTTTATGGAGATCACGGATTGCAGTGTCATACTCTGAAGCCTAGCATTTTTTGTGTAGTACAATAGGCCATTCATTCAATGCAGTGTTCAGCACGTTTTGCCATTCTAGGTGTTTTGGAGATTTTGGAATACAATGGTGTTTTCAAAAGAAAGTGCTGACTCATCTTGTATGTACCCTATAATATTGTAACTGCTATGAGTGAGAAAAAAGAGTGGAGAGATGCAGTAATACTGCCATGAAACAGATCTTAGAAAAAGTTGCAATAATGAGTGTGTCAGGTGACGAAAAAGGAAGAAGTAAGGCAGCCGAGAGCACTATGCGGTATGCTTTGAGCCGCTCACCATTTCAGTCGCTAAGATGCTGCGGTTAAACTTTTTACTAAGAATCAGCTCGAGTCTCTTAATTCACTGGCAAAGCACTCTTGCCCCCTTCACTTGTTCGTAAATGGTGCGCTCAATTTGATGGGAATACATACCTTTACGTACGGGGGCCAGTGCTCAAAGGGAACCTGATGCCCATCCCACCACGCAGCCGACAGCTACCAGCAAAAGGGGTTGCATAGCCGGGTTTGCCGACGCCTTGCTGCGAACAATGATGATCCCACTATTTAACAGTGATTATTGGTTCCCGAAAACACACTGCAGTCGGGTGAACCGTAGACATAAGGTGCCTGCAGTGCCCGTTGACCCCAAGGCCAGGGAAATCGCCTGTGCGTCATCGTCGGTCAGACGACCTAGTACCACGACTCGTCGCTGGCATACAATCTAGAACACACTGCAAACGGCCACCTACTCAAATAAGGGAGCGCCGACTGGCCAGCGCAATCCTTCATGGGTCTTCCCAAAAGTCGGAAAAACCTGGCGGAGGAGAGTTTGAGGGTTGGCTAGCGAGATGGCAACCTCTTCCACAGCACGAAATGGTACGCTCCGGCTAAAAGTCAAACAACCCTGGCAGTCGCACCTGTGGATTAGGGCCTACACAAGGGAAGGATGCAAGCAGTTCCTACAATCTGTATGTCGGTAGTAGGCACTCCTGCATTTGGCTATTCATCCCAATGCCCTGCTCTAAAGAAAAATGATATGCTTCATTTCACAATAAATTCAAATGCAGTTTAAGGATGGTGTAAAAACATGCTTGACTGAATTGGCTGGATGCTATATGTATGCAGAAAGTCAATGAATACCATCATGTTGCGCTTTTGGAGCTGCTTGATCGTCCCCATTGCTTCTTAGTGCCTGCTTCACTCTGATAAGTTATGCTGAAATTGATATAAGTTGCCTTACATTTTCATTCTTTCAGTACCTGATGAAGGCATACCGTATTTACTCGTAGAATGAACTTTTTCCCGAAAAATTGACACTTAATTGGGACTGTAGGGGCCCCATGCTTCGTCGTTTTCTATTTCCCTTTAAGCTTGCAGCACCATCGCCAAGCACAAACGGTGATGTGGTCGCGAGCACGCGTGATTAAAAATACATTCCATCCGAGACATCGGAGTTGCTTGACGTGTTATCTCCAAACTGGTGACCCGGACGTGATAGCCGCTTTGAGCTGCCGGTGTAAGCGTTCCACCATGCCATTAGCCGACGGGGTTTGCGGTGTTGCGACAGTACTCACGGTCGCGCTGGAATTGTTTGCGATTGACCCTTTAAGCTTGCAGCACCATTGCCAAGCACAGACGGTGATGTGGTCGCGAGCGCGCGTGATTGAAAAGACATTCCATCCGAGACATCGGAGTTGCTTGACGTGTTTTCTACAAACTGGTGACCCGGACGTGATAGCCGCTTTGAGCTGCCGGTGTAAGCGTTCCACCATGCCATTAGCCGACGGGGTTTGCGGTGTTGCGACAGTACTCAAGGTCGCGCTGGAATTGTTTGCGATTGACCCTTTAAAGGGGTACTCCACCGATTTTTTGAGCTACCTCAACTAACTATATTTTCTGACTCCCCGGCCTTTACTCTCTCCGGTATGCTATTTAGAATCGCGAAATTCATAATAGTTGTTGCGAAATCGGCAAATGAAAATGATGAAAAAACCAACATTCAAATATACGCGCGCTTTTCAGGGCCGTGACGTCAGTGGCAGGCAGGCTTGCCAGTCGAGCAAGCAGCCAAAAAATAGAATATGCCAATCATTTGTTCCGTGCTGGAGCGCGGGTACTGCAGCGAGCTTCCCAAGCATTCATTTGACACCATGAAACTGCTTCGAATCAGTTTAAAACGAAATCTACAGCCCAAAGAGTGAACCAATGCCTTCCACTGACGTCACTTTTTCATTGTTGCCAGTAGAGACTTTGAGCTTGAAAAACACGGTGAGGACCAAAACTGTAAATTCAATAACTTCGCGAAAAAACAATATTTTGACCTAATATTTGGAATACTATTTTCGCGATGTTTGTTGGTTAGTTTAGCAAAATTTCAAGCAAATCGGAGACAATGAAAAAATCGGTGGAGTAGCCCTTTAAGCTTGCGGCACCATCGCCAAGCACAAACGGTGATGTGGTCGCGAGCGCACGTGATTAAAAAGACATTCCATCCGAGACATCGGAGTCGCTTGACGTGTTTTCTACAATTACGCAGGGTAAAATTTTTGCATTTACACACTGCGCAAATGTCATTTTAGGTGCCAGTATGACATGGCAGGGTACTGTGACACGTCTCCATTGAATGAGGCGCACTAATGGCTGGTTCTGGGCACGCCACAGTATAACCATGCTCTATAAACTGCAAGCCTTTAGGGCGCTTTTGGCGTGCCTTTGGCCAAAGAGAAAGTGCCCTGCGAAGCTCACTCAGCACGGAGAGCGACGCAACCATTCTTAGACCTAACCACTTTCACAATATCACTGTCCGAAAGCGGATCAAAGACGATGGCATGTTTGTTGACATCAATGCATCCAATGGACGAAGCACGTCCCGGGCTGGGAGCTTCGCTAGGTGTGCGTGCCGCTCAATGGGCTTGGTGGCTGGCAGTCTAAGTTGGACGCAGTTCAAGACTCGCGGAGCCGAAAATCAGGAGTGTCATTACGCTAGAAAAAGAAATTCAAATATGGGTGCCTGTTGTGGGGGTTGCATTCATTATGCAAGTGCGTTTATTAAGCGAGTGAATACGGTACGCTAGTTAGTAAAAATGTTCATAACCATACTTTACAAAAAGTACCGTAACCCATTTTAGTGCTTAAGGCACTAAAACTGGTTACGGCATAGTTTATTTTATAAATATAAAATGTAACAATAATTGTGGATTTTATTTTAGAAAGATTTGATTGATATAAAATGTATTTAAAAATATGTTGAGTGCCTACCTTGCAGACAGATGCTTGATGAAGTTGTCCTTAAAGGGGGCCCTGCAAGGACTTTTTTACTGGTTTTAAATTTACACCGAACGTAAGCGCACTGAACGTAGAAACTTAATGAAACTTTTCTCGAAATTCGCTTTATTTTAAAAGTTATAGGTAAACTAAAATTACCAAAACAAGCAAAAGGTAACCTCCTTCATGACGTCCTTGTTTGCTTGAGTGGCCGTGAACTAAAGGAGGGGTAGTGAGCTCAGCGAGCGGTCACGGCTGCCGCACTCCGTGTCGACGGCTCGAGAGGGCGCCACTAAAACATGTTCTGGCTAGGCTGTATGAAGTGGGCAGCCTGGGCGGCTCGCATTGCATTTGCTGCACGGCTAAACACTAATTCGACATGACACTTCATTGGCCACAAACGACAGCAAACACGGGGTAAAGATGAGTTCAGAACGCGAGCCACTTCGCGCTGCCATACCACCAAAAGGCCAAACCGCAAGCAAAAGCTGCTCGCCGAAGGCCTTGGGAACGCTCGGAACCGGTCATACCCTCCAGTCCGCACGACCGCAGCGCCGCCGCCTACATCCGGGACACCTCTACGTTCGCCGCTCGTTGGTGGCTGATCTCACAACACCTTTCTAGTATGCACCGTATTTTCCACCGCTTGGTGGTGGGTATGTCGACGGGTCATTTCTTGTTTCCGTACTTTATAAACTGCATTTGTTTCTTTTCTGACCTAAAATAGTGAACAAAAACGACTTTTAAAAATAATTGAAACTGTTCGCGCCACATACATTTTGTATTTCGACTATAAAGAAGCTTTTAGCGGCTCTGACCAGTAGTAAGCCCAGGACCAAAGACGTCACACTTCGCACACTTTCGGCACCACGGGTCGCCCCCGTAGGTGAAGGGGGTTTCCGGGCTGTCCGGTTAAAATATGACGCACTGATATTTAGTTACTCTCTTCGTGCCCACTGGCTTGCCCGAACCCCAAGAGACGTGGAAACGGCAAAAAAGGTAGACGCTTAAATATGATTGCACGGCCCCTTTAAGGAGTTGCATAAGTTAAGGGCTGATATCCCAGTCTTGTTATCTTGTTATAGCTTCTAGACAGTGGAACCTAAGCTGTGCCTCTAGTCAACAGTGATAAAGATGTCCATACTGACCTATGGTGTTCTCACATTACCATCTTCCCAGTGGTGCAGATACCTTACCGCCTCCTTGAGCCGAGGGAAGTAAACATGGGGCTTATAATGATAATTAATTTTCTATGGCTTTCTCTGCCATGTGAGTGATTTAGATGTTCATGTTAAGGATTATCAACAGTTGTCAGTGAAGTTAGCTGACAACTTTCTAGTGCATCTTTCTGTCTCTAAGGGCTGTGGCAGCCCCTTAGAATAGAAAAAGGAAACCAGATCACATCTTCTGATGTGTCTACCGTGATTCTTTGCACCATGTAAGTGCTCACTGCGCGACACTGTTAACGCAAACACAACCTGGGGCTTTTTCGCATTTTACTTCGAAAGGGTACTGGCGGAAAAAAAAAAAAGTTTACCACTTAGGCTAGTACCCAAACGCCCAAACGGCACTTTCCATTCCTATATAGTAGTTTCGATAACAAGATCAACAGTGAAAAAAAAAAAAAAAAAAAAAAACAGAAAAACGACGATGCCTTGTTCGTGCTAACAATGCTCTGGAAAGTGGGGAAGCGAGAAGCATCCTCAGTGATGCTCAAGACAGTTTTATGACTTACTAGCACTTTTGCAGAATGCATCCTTGGCACTCAGTAGAATGAACATGTATTCGGTTTTCACTCAAGGCATTTACGGCTGCAGCATGATTAGAAGATAATTGACCTAAATTGCTTGCGTACCAAAGGACCACATGAGGTGGTTGCAGTTGAATGCCTGCAGCATTCATCATAGCTACCATTGGGGTGGCAAGGGAAACGGCGCAATGTAGGCTAAGGACATGTTAAAACAATGATTTCTGTCACCGCAGTTTCCCCAACAGCCTGCAACGAGTTTGTAGATTGTACCTTATCCCAACACAAAGAGTATAGCTTCCACAGATTGCGAAGAAGACGCAGATTCAAAGCGAGCTGCATGTCTTTTTCGTGGATTGTGTTAGCTTCCAACTCGTGAGAAAGAATGGAAAAAAATTATTTGACGAATAATAAGCCACCTTCAGTTAAAAACTATTATGATCCTCAGGGGTACTTAGAGACCCGGGACCTGCGGTACACCCGAATGGCCGAGGAGTATTCTCCCCAGACGTGCCTTCGTGCACTGCTGAGAACTTGGAGGGAGGTGAAAGTGGGTCACATGCTCCTTTTGTCGGTTAGGTTAGCTTCCAGCTCGGGAAAGAGTGAATACAAATATTTGAGAAATAAGCTACCTTTAGTTAAGTTTATATCGATATGTTTTGTGTACTTGGAGAGATTCGAGAACTGCGATACACCCAAATGCCCGAGGAGTAATGTCTCCCCAGACGTACCTTCATGCACTACAGAGAAGTCGGAGAGAAGTGAAAATCGGTCGTATGCTACTTTCGTTGGATAGGTTAGCTTCCAGTTCGTGAAAGAAAATGGATATAATTATTCGACAAATAATGAGCTACCCTTCGAGTAATTTATTTCAGTGTATGGGGCACCTCGAGATTTGGAACTTGTGATACAACCAAATGATTGAGCACTAGTGCTTCCCCAGATGTGCCTTCATGCACTGCAAAGAAGCCAGAGAATGAGTGTTCCATATGTCTCTTTTGTTGTTTAGTATAGACCTTTGCAAAAAGAGCGCTCTGGCCGCCACAATTTTGCGAATCGAG